TATTACCCAAACGTAACACATTGTTCCCTTATACCTACACGTATGTTCTTTATAGGTACACTATAATTACAGAAACGTACACCGTAAATTCAGTATACTTACATAGTTCTTTGTGGGTTGTAATCTAAAGCGTTACCGGTGAGGCATATGTTGAGCTGATGGGAATGAGGATAAATATTTCCATGTGTGGATCTTTTGTTTTTCCACCTTGCCTCATCTTTGGCACTGCGCTCATTCATCACAGTTGACAAAGGTTGAGCGCACATCTGAGTGCAATATGGACACGTGCACAGCACTGTACCATCATACGAGATTGTCTCTCAAGAGACATTAAAGGCATTACTAGTTCACCCAAAAGTGAGAATTTGGTCATTGTTTATTCTTCATCGTATAATTTCAAACCCACTTTCATTGTGTGGAAAAGAGAAGTAGGGCTGGGTATCGATACACATTTCCCAATTCAACATACTATCTCTGCATTTAAAAAATTTATTTACTTGCCACTTGTAGAGCAATTGAAACCATTTTCATACACGCACACTCAAGTGTACTACAAGTGGTAACTAAATAAATGTTTTAAATGGTGTCCCAAAATAGTTGAGTATACACTTGATGAGCTTAAGTTTATCTTAAGAAGTACTAAAGGATAATTTTTAGTATATTACGTACAAAATTAGTGTGTGAAAATAGAGCACTTTAAGCACATTCTGGAAGTGCACTTTTTTCCACCTGGGGTTACTTGATTGGTAAAATTATTGATTGTAATTAATTAAATGAAATTAATTTTTCAAATACTGTACATTATTGTAGGTCCTCTATGCCCCGCCTCTCTCAAACGCTTCGTTTTCTACAAAGTCCCTCCTTCCGACAAGCGCAGTCTGCTCTGATTGGCCAGCTGACCCAGTGCATTGTGATTGCTGTTCTGTTATAAGTAATCTTAAAGATTCCTAAATGCATCTACTTTTGGAAGGCCAAATAAAGGGCTTTTGCTTTCACCTAGAAACACACAGCGTCTCCCTGACATGGCTGCTTCAACACTAACTGCGGTTACAGAAACCACGCCTTCTTTCTTTGCGTGCACATTTGGGCGCATTATGCTAATATTTCCACATAGTGAGGTAGATATGTGGGGGCGTGTTAGAACGAGCCATTTTAGGGGGGCGTGGCAGAGTCTTAACTTTGATAAAGAATATCTCTTTGGTTTTGAGACTTTAGTCTTTGCAACTTCAGGGACCTTATCTATGCACAATCAGCTTGTAACACTCCAAAGAGAAAGGAAAACTTGAAATCGCATCATATGACCCCTTTAAAATGGTTTTTGCATTGTAGTGTGGACTGTGAAAACGTAGGTTCAAAACGATGACTCATTTTTGGTCATGTGATGCATATTGTGCCTGTAAATATCTATGGTTGTACCATCATTGTTGTGCCTGCTATTCACTCTCATAATGTTGCTGAATAATATTGGTGGGATATTTGATAATAAAATGATTGTGCCAGAAGAATATAGCATAAGAACTTTATTATGTCAGGTCTCTCAGTATCATCTCATTGATAGTTTATGACATTTTACACATTCGAAGCAAAGTTATTTAAGGGTTTTCATTTAGTAAAATGCTTTAAAACGCTAGTATGGACAGAGAGCATTTTTATACAAAACCTATGTTTTCAAATGTATCTGGATAAATGATACCCCAAAAAGATTCAGCCTATAAGAGTCAAAGATTCTCCAAAACTTCTCCTTTTGTGTTCAACAGAACAAAGAAAATCATACAGGTTTGGAACAACATAGTAGTAAATAATGAGAGAATTGTATATGTAAATGTGCTTTCAATAAAGAAAAGTCTTGACAATTTTATATTTCTGCAGCAACAATTAACTGAAAATGATTTTAAAGCGCTGAAATTGACAACAAATTTCTTTGTGCCCATTTACCGATGCCCAATGTACGTTCACAGATCCACACAGAGCTGAGGGAACAAATACTCTGTAATGAATCCCCCACTACAGAGTCCATAATAGCACTCATATCAGTTAATTTCATTTCCATTTGAAAAGAGTTTCGATTTGAAAAACATTCATACATAACAAAAGAAAGAGAATGGAATCGGGCCCATCCTATTAATCTCCTTACCTTGACAATATGGACAATACATGCAGTATGTGCCCATTATGCATTTCTATGATGGAACATGACGGAATACCCAGCACTTACAGACTAGCGCTAATTAACAAACTGAAAAGGAGTGAAATTTTTTTTTTTTTAAATTTGGTTTAATAGGAAAATAATTATGATCAGCAGTGTGCAATCGCAAACTGACCTCATGCCAAAAAAAGAGAGCATTTTGTTTGAAATACAAAATGGTTCCATTTATTAACATAAGGAATAAAATATTCTCTAGCTCGGTTCTAGGATGTTTGATGTCACTGGCTGTTTGTTTTGATCTCACCTGTCTGTGTGTGTTCATTGTGCCTCAAACCGAATCCATCAGCCAGATGACACTGAGTGAAGTGTGATGTAGCAATGGATTCTACCAGCAAGGCTGCTAAAGCTAACCAACCAAACCTTGATCCCCTGTCTTTCAGAGGCAATATGCCACCTAGCAAAGGCAAAATGCAGTAACTATGCCAACACTGAAGAAAGAAAACTGGCTTTAAAGTTTTTTATTACATTTTGATTCATTTCATATCAAATTTCACACTCCATTATCTTTGGATCTGAGAACAGTTGAGCTAAAGCGGTCTATCACAGGACAGATTATGGTCTAAAAGACCTGCTCTGGCCAGTTACATAAACTGCATAGACTAGTCTCACAAGTCATATAATTTTGATAAGACTGGTCATAACTTTTTTAAACTTTTTACATAAAACATAAAATGGCCTAATTTGAATCCAAAAAGTATAAGATCCCCTGCCTAAAGCCCCGTTCACACCAAGAACGATAACTATAAAGATAACGATAGCGTCCACACCAGCGAACGATATTGTCTGTTTATACTAAGCGCACGCGTATCTGCCGCTTTAAATTCTCGATCTCGTTATAAGGATGGATTCTGATTGGCTGTCAATGTTTGTATCGTTCATCAGCTGGAAAAAATTGTTCTGGAAGTGATCCCAACTATATTGTTTCTCTGTGCCTTTATAGCTGTGGTGTGGACTCTGCTATTCTTTAATATTGAGAACGATTTTTAGAACTATATCTTTATCGTTATCTTTATAGTTATCGTGCTTGGTGTGAACGGTCTAATGCTCGGTTCAGACTACACTATTTTAGCCCGATTTTGCCAAGATTTGCTTGACGTAGGGTGTCGTGGGGATTCGTAAACGACAATGGACGTCGGGATGCAAGATTCCATCGTTTCAGCACGTGTAGTGTGTCATAGTGGACGACAACCGATTCCACGTTTGCGATGCTTCACGACAAAGACTGTTTAATTTTTTTTTTAGTGAGTTCTGTCACATTGGTGACGTTGACCAATAGCAGCACAGAAGCTCTTTCATGGTTTCAAACATGGCAAAACGAAAGAGAGATGATGGTGCTGCTAGGTGGAATTATGAGATGGAGAAAAGGTTTGTGGAGCTGTGGCAACAGTACTCCTGCCTGTATAATGTGTCATCAAGGGACTACCACGACAGAATAAAGAAAGAAAAATGCTAGCGAACTATAGCGGAAGCGCTTCAGCAATGTTTACACTCTTGTTTTCGGAAGTCAGTCGCTAGTACCGCCTTCTCGATGACATCATGCACGTCGTTAAAGACGGCACGCGATGAATGGTCGGGAAGCAATGTGTAGTCTGACATGTCCATGACACGACAAGATTTTAGGAGTCAAAATCGTGTAATCTGACATGGTGACCATTGTGACCGACAAAAATAGTGTGTAGTCTGAACCCAGCATTAAGACAAAGCAGAGTAGCTGTGTTTATGCAACAGCTGTGATTTCATCATAATTCACTTGTAGAAAATGTGTAGTTGCAACATTTTGCCTTTTGTAGGGCAGTGAGTTACCCTGCATGGGTTAAGGTTGTGTTTTGCACATCAATCTTTGAGTGAAGGAGGAATTTGGAAAATGTTCTCAGTTATAAAATAAAAAAAGTACTGCATGTCGGTAGTGTTCTGGGAAATGTATTTTATTATATTATTAAATTAAGCATTACTCTGTCACATGTTGCAGTCCAGTCAATTGATTGCATTTCTGCTTTTGTCAATCTCAAAAGATTGAAATGCACTGATTTGTGATATACACTATTTTAAAATAATGTGCTCTTTAATAACAAACTTTACGAGTACATCATGTGTGCACCATACATAAATTGTATATATGTGTGATGTATTTGTAAGCAATATATTGGTAAGATTTTAAAAATGTCTTCTATCAAGGCTGCATTTATTTGAGTAAAAATAAAGTAAAAACGGTACTACTGTGAAATATTATTACAATTCAAACTAACTGTTTTCTATTTGAATATGTTTTAAAATGCTAATTTATTCCTGTGATGCCAGAGCTGAATTTTCAGCACCATTACTCCTGTCTTCAGTGTCACATGCTTCTTCAGAAATCATTCTAATATACTAATTTAATATTGAAGAAATATGTCTTCATATTTTCAGTGTTAAAAAACAACTACTTTTGTGGAAACTGTGATACATGTTTTTCAGGATTCTTACTTTTTCAGGATAACATTTCTAGTCTCTTTTTCAAAAACCTTCCTCGCCCCAAAATTTGAACGGTAGTGCAGTCGTTTAAAAACTGCCAAAAGTAAAAATCTCAGTCTGAAATTATTCAAAAACCTTTCAACAATTTAAACCGCATCCTTGCACACGTTACACACTTGGTGACTGGTGAAAGCTGCATATTTATTTAAATTTAGTAGGAGGGTCTATACCTCTAGTCCAACCCTTCCGTCACTTTGATTGGCTATCATTTTGAAGGCGGGGCCTCGGGTACCACATGGAGATGCTGTGTATCGGTGGATGCGGGAATGAGTGAGAGTAGCCTATGGTTGAATGATGCTGGTCGAGGAGCTACACACAAAACACTGACATCTTGCATTGAAAACTTAAAGTGCAGATAGCGTGCAAATAGTTTATTTATCTTATTCAATGGTGGTCTGGGCTACATTTGTAGCATGTTATTGATGCATAAGTGATAAAAGTCAGATTTTAAGGATAGACAAGAGTGACAGAATTGATGGAATAATGAGGGCGCATTTACGGAATCCGAGTTTTTTCATATTTCCCACCGCATGTTTTTTTATTCTTTTTCTTGCCATTTCTAATGTGCATTCGGCTGCTTTTTATGGACAAATTGAGGAAGGCGCACCTCCTGGAACTCTTGTCGCTGGCTTTCTTTTTCCTCTGGGAGACAAATGCAAAGAATTAAACTTGGCTGGACTTAAAACAGTTTTGACAGGGGAGGACTCGTCGGATTTTTCACTTGAATATCTGGACAACGCTGGATTCGTTTTAAAAACCACCAAAACTTTTGACAGGGAATCCAAATCGAGCTATTCAGTGAGCGCGCGCTTGCCGCGCTGCAGTAAGACAGACGAAGAAGTGTCAGTTAAGATCGAGATACTTGATAAAAACAACAATACGCGACAATTTAACGTAACAACTGACAGGATAGAGATTCTTACCGATGTTAAAAGCCGAGTTAGGAAGCCAAGAACCGTTTCTGAAGAAGTATCCTACACCGTTACAGTTTCTGAAGATGTGAAAGTCGGAGACTTGATCTTTACGGTACCGGACCAGAAGTTCGAGAAGAAATGGTTCGAGGTGGTGTCGGACGGGAACTCACCGGTCCAGATGGAAAGAGACTCCGGACGCGTGTACTTAGCGTATCGTTTGATGTCAACAGCCGAGGTCATGGTCAAAATCCACAACATGAGAGGTATTTTATATATACTGCCTTTTTAAATTCACAGTTTAATTGTATGTTTTAAAGGGATAGCCTAGTTCCCCCCAAAATGCTAAATCTGCCGTCGTTCACTCACTATTGCTCAAAAGCTGTACTGACTTTCTCTCTGCTGTATAACACAGAATGACGTGAATAGAGACTAACAGCCTCAGTCACCATTCACTTTCATTGCATCTTTTTCCGTACAATGAACGTAAATGGTGACTGAGTCTCCCCAACGTCTCCGTTAGTGTTCTGCAGGTGAAATGATGTCAATTGATGACAGAATTTGCATTTTTGGTGAGCTAGTCCTTTAAGTTCGCATATTAATCTGCAGTTATGATTTGAAAACTGAGCGCTAAGGAGTAAGTAGCTATCATCTCGATATTTCTATCAAAAGTTGTCATTTGCATTTCCATTCCGCCTCACAGTTTTACTGAAATCACAGCGCACATTTCCGATATTTGATAGTTTTATTTCATTTACTTCATTTGGAGACATGTACTGTTAATTTTACACTGAAGCTTCACCTGAGGTTTAATGTGTGTGTGTGTGTGTGTGGGGGGGGGGTCAACTTAATACAATACCACACTCAAAAAGAAAAAGAAAAAAAAAGCACCGTCATAATGTTTTTTTTTTTTGTTCATGAGAGGCAGCATATGTGATGTTTAATGCAATATTATGCCTTCTTTTGATATTAATGACGTGTATGTATTTGGCCGACACCTTTATCTGAAGCAATTTATATTGTATTCAAGATACACTTTTTATTAATTTATGCATTTCTTTGGAATCAAACCCATGACACTGGCAATGCTAGTGCCATGCACTACTAATTGAGCTTCAGGAACCATATAAATTCATTGAGAGAATTTGTTTGGGTTGTCAAGTTTGTTTAGTTCCACTTGTGAGATGTTTGTCCTCATGGTTTGGCAATCAGGTAAACAAATATTAGAGTAGTGGCTAGGTTTAAGTGACTAGCTCAAGCTTCAGAAGTATGTTCAGATCCCATTAATGTTTTCTTAAAACAAATCGTACTGAAATCATCAAAGAAATGGTGAAACTGGAGCAAAGAAACAATCTGTGATTGGTACATCTCTGACTGTAATACACTAATGCACTTTGCTGGGTAACTCAGCTTAAATTATTGTGAAACAGATACATTAGGACATGTTGACTAAACTCAAATGAGCTCACTCGGTATCATCAAGTAACTGGGTTCAAGTGAACATAAATGTTATGGAGAAAGTCTTCTAATTATGACTGAGTTCAGCTTAAGTGGTTGAGGTCATGCAGGTCTGATTTCGCTAATCAGAGCTCTAAAAGCAAACCTTTATTCAACTGTTTGTTTGGGATAATTAGTGATATTTATTCACCTGGAAGTCACCAGACAGCACATATGGTCTCAAATACCTTCGCTGGGGCAGGATGTGTAGTTGACGTTGGGGGATATAAATGTTTGTTTTTGCAAGCGAAGGTCCCCGTCCATCACCTGAATACGCCATTGGGGTTGTTTGTGACTCTGATTGAGGTAGTCTCAGTGATTGTTTGACAGAGTAAATTCAGCGATCGGATGAATATACCTCTTGACATGTTTACTGAAATTGCTCCTCTGAAATAAGGGTGCCACGTGTTCCCTTGAAAAGAGAAATAAGAGTTATTATGTGCATTTCTGTAAAGTATCCCAAGCAGATCTGCTGAGGAATGTCTTGTCTGTTGTAATGATCTTGCATTCACTGATTGGAGAATTACAGGATAATTTAAGTTGGGATGAGAGCTTGTTAGAAAGCTCTATCATCAGCAGTGAGCAGAACAGATGTGGCCTTTTTAAAATTAAACAAGAGGTTTTTCCTACACTTAAGAATCTGTGTAGCGTCTGCCGAACACATGTCTGGACTTTGGGTGGGCGGTATGGCCAAGCTCGTATGTATGTATGTATGTATGTGTATATGTGTGTGTATATATATATATATATATATATATATATAGGCCTATATATGTATATGCACAATTTTATTACTCATATACATCATGATATAATTGTTTATGCTGGAAAACTATGAAAAAAATGCTTATATATTAAATAAACACTGTAAAGCCTATTTTGTCAGATAATACAGTGTACTTGAAAGATACTTATAAGATATTATTTTCTGTTATTTATTCAGTGTTGTGCTGATTTAATTCCAATTCACAAGCTCTCCGTTAGATTTTTTTTTATTTGATTGTGATTTCTCAGTGTTTCAGGCTGATTTAAACTGGAAACTTGTCGTTTTTAACTGTTTGTGTAGTTTTGATTTGATTGATTGTGTAGTTTACTAAAAAATGTTGCGTTGTTAGTTTGTCATGCCGTCCATTTCTGTCATTTCACCATACATATAGGCTACTGTCTGGTCTGCATTTTCTATCCTAGTCTGGTCTACAAAGACCTGAACTCATTGTGTTTTAGCCTTTCTGTCATTCCAGCACAGCTCTCTCTTTAAAACACTACAACACAGTGGAGTGTCCTCTTCACTCTTCTGTGAGAATTCAGCACAATGGGAACACAGTCCTGTTGGCAGCAGAAGAGCTTTGTATCTCATTTTCGGAGGCAGTTTGAAGGACTTCTTCTCTCCAAACGCTTGTATGGTGAAGTCAAGCCAATGCAGGGTCTTCTGGGAGACAATTATTTTTGAATCCATTGTGAAGCATCATGCTAACACAGTCCGTTTGAGTGCTTTTGGAACTGCACTGTTTGTTTTGTCCCGTTTATGTGTGAAGTTTGGATGAGAAAGTCCCATCTGTGTTAACAGAGTGAAGACATACTCAGACATAGTCCCCGTAGTCTTTGATATCTGACTCGTAATGTTGCTTCTCCAGGTAACAACTGCACAGTTGGATAGATTTAGATCTGTTATATGCCAGACATATTTCATTTGAGATTTTCCTTTTGTTGCAATTGGGATCTAATCAGAATTAGCAGTTTATTTGTTCTCGTTTCCAGCAAAAACAAGATATTATCATGCACATAAAAATTAGGGCTGTGCTCATACAATATCAGTATATTGTGATTCTGTTTACCCTGATATTTCATTTAGATACTTAAGATCACCTTTTGATATTTTTTTTATTTATGTATGCATTAAACAATTTATTGATCTATCCATCTTCCTGGGAATCAAACCTATGACTTTGGCACTGGTAGCTCCATGCTCTAGCATTTGCCATCAGAATATCTGTTATATTATTGGCCTGTCACATTTGTATTACAGCAGTACTGGATGAGAGACACCAGTATGGTTGACTCACCCCAATGTCACTTGCCATTTCATCAAGAAGCCACTCATAGAGCAGAGAGGCTTAACAGTTTGTCCTGCACAATTAGCATTAGTATTACTATGCAGCACACACAGTCAGGGACCGCGGGGCAGCTTTCTAATCCTCATAAAGACCATCCCTGTGGTGCCTTCATTGGCTTGGTAAACACTGATAATGGCTTGCGTGTTGTACGCATTCTCTTCTTTTCCACCCTTAAAGAATCCATACACCCATGAAAGTTTAAAATATCCTTATGAAGAACTTTATCTGTCTTTCAACACTGTGTAGTCTGTTTGAAGAGCTTGTCTAGTGGGTCAAAAGAGGAAGCAAGGGTGAATGATTGGATGTACAATGCATTCAAAAAAGATGACAAGTAACAGTCGGAAGTCAGTTGATGTTACTTCCAGTTCCCAGCATATGTACTGAAATGCATGTATATATTTAGATTTTTTCAAATAACAAGTAAAGTTATTGCAAACACTATAGCATCTGGGTCAGTCCACCACAAGTGGTCCAAAAATCAAATTTAAATTTTTTTTGAGTGATTATCTGCATTACTATTGCAAAATTAATATTTAAATTTTACTTAGTTTAACCACAGTTGCTGTCTTTTTGTCATGGCCCACAACAAATTTTGGTTATATGGACATTTTCAAAAACCTCAGAATATCAGATCAGGATAGTCCTAGTTCCTTGAAACAAAAACTGATCTCGAGTGCATTTCAAGGTGCATGTACATGAACATTTTGCATATTCTTGTTCTTTAGATTTAGAATTTAATTCCAAATGTAATGATCAAGATAAGTTTCACTTATAGGGTCAGTTTAATGGGAAGGGTTCAAGTTTACCTAATTTGGAAAAATGAAAATGCTCAAGCATCTGACATTGTGTTCAAAGTGTGTGTTTTTTTCTAGCATTTAAAAAAAAATCAATATTGACACTTGTGATTTTAGTTTAGATACACTTTTTCCAAGTCAGAAAGAGCATATTTTTGTTGTATAAAATATATTTTAAACTACTGTATTTTGTAGGGTTACGGTTTGCTTTTCCACTGGTAGTCACTTCATTGTGTCTTTTATGTCGCCACAAGTTATCAACTCTCATTGAAAATGTATGATGTCTGTTCACTGTCCGACAAATGTCTGAGAAATCTCTGTCATTGTGAATCCTGGTTACTAACGGCTGTGCATTAATGAACCTCAACCATTAACCATGGAGTTTCTATCCGGCTTCCATTGGACATTGTCACCCTCAGTCACCTCATTCATGTCAATAAAAGCGAATCAAAAAGGGGGCAGCAAAGTGCAAGAGCATAGATTGGTGACCTTGTGTGCTTCACTGTGATATTCACAGCTCTGAGACAGTGGAGTTTAGTGGCTTCCTTTTGGCTGAAGACCCATTATATTCCAATCGTCCTTCTTCTCCCTTCGGGCTCAGAAACGTTGAGTGTACTTTAGTTGTGATTAGGGACAGTTTGCCCTTTTGTCTGCCACATGCACTTGATTTGTTCTAAGGATTGCCTCTTCTATCACACACCAGCCTAGCTTGAGCTCTGTGCACACCCAGGTCAGAAAGAGTCATTCGTCTTACTGTCCCCAAATGTTTGAACAATCATGTAACACAAAATATGTAAAAAAGATAGCGAATATATGCACATGACTCATAAGACAAAATCATTATTAATGCATCAAGTTGGG